CAACTTTAAGACTTGTGGACTTCAACTCCCAGAATTCCTCAGACAGCAAAGCTGTCTGAGGAATTCTGGGAGTTGAAGTCCACAAGTCTTAAAGTTGCCAAGGTTGGAGACCCCTGCTCTAAGGCATTTCCCCTCTTAGAGTAGAGAAGAATGTACGCTACATGGATTTTCCTAAAGTCATTTTTTCCCTTCCAGGTTTTAGTCGCTAAACAAGGAAGCAGCAAAGGCAGTGGATATATTGGGGTATATTCATCCTGTCATCTTTATTTGGAACTTTATTTCAGAGTAAACATAACATTTAATTACAGCTTGGATGGAGGATATGCGATATCTTTATTAATGCAAAATAAGATAAAAAAAAAACTGGACCATTTAATCCCCATCCCCCATTGAAAGAGACTTTTTTTAAAAAAAAATCAACCCATGATAAGAATACTGGAAAAAAATGAAGGAGACTTTCTATCAGACTAGTGCCCTGCTCTGGAATTTTTTTAAAAATAGAAAGTGATACCGATAGTCCTCAACTTACAACAGTTCATTTTGTGACTGTTTGAAGTTACAACAGCACTGAAAAAAGTGATTTATGACTATTTTTCACACAACCTCATGGTGCATATTGCAGCATCCCACGGTCAGATGGTCAAAATTCAGATGTTTGACAACTGATTCATATTTATGACGGTTGCAATGTCCCAGGGTCAAATGATCCCTTTTTGCACTCTTCTGACAAGCAAAGTCAATGTGGAAGCCAGGTTCACTTAACAACCATGCTGCCAACTTAACAACTGCAGTGATTCATTTAACAACTGTGGAAAGAAGATGTTCTGACCTAGGCTTCCCAAGATCATGAAGCAGATCATGAAGCATCCCGATAAAAACCCTTTTATTTAGGTTAAAGTAAATTCCCTTCCAGCAAAGTCCCGTCAAACAGTCTTTCATGAGATTTCACAACTACAGACTTTTATCAGGCTTGGAGAGTTGCCAGGCCGATATCTCCCAAACGCCACGCTATAGCAGCAATTACTTGGCAAGAAGACAGGAACAGATCTTCACCCTAATGAATTGAACTAATTGTCTCCTGCAAACTTCCCTTCACTCCTTTTTTTTCCCTATGGGAGAGGCCATTCACCATCCACCTGTGCTCTTACTCCCGAATTGACACTTGTTCCTTAACTGTTCCCTTCCCCTGGCAGCTCTGCACATGGGCACACTGGGAACAGGCTCCAGCTGTTCTTCTGCCCCACTGATCTCCGACTCTGAAGGCAGCTGATAACTGTCAGATGGCCCTGGCCCCATCTCTGCCTCTGATGCAGAGCACTCGTCAGAGCCTTCCCCAGTCTCCCCAATCTTTTCACAGCGGCTCTGCTGGCCTCTGGTGGGCCACAACAGAAGAGTCCTAAAATGGGGCAAAATTAACTTAACAACTATGTCACTTAGTACCAGAAATTTTGGGTTCCATTGTGGTTGTAAGTCGAGGACTACCTGTATGCAAATATTTTAAATGGATAAAGATGCTTGTCAGCAGCCTGAATCGGTATCCTGCAATCCAAATATCAAGGCTGGAGCGGGAGTGGGGAATGATGTTGGAGTATCTTCAGCAGAGTACAAAAATATGAAGATGGAGGCAGCAATTATGAAACCGAATCACTGATTATTTGTGTATTTGTTATTTATTAAACCAATTTATGTGACCACCCATCTCACAAACAGTGATTCTGAGTGAAGTACCACAGAGATATGAAACAGTTAATAAATACATTTAAAAGTATACAAACCAAGTTAAAACAAAGAATAATAAGTGAAGGGATGTGAAAAATAGAGAAGCCACCTCACAAATTCCCCTGTCCTCTGGGATCCCCAGACTTGCAGGCATAACCAGGTCCTGAGGGACCTCCAGAAGTTCAACGGTGAAAAGGCCAACTTCATCTCATGGGGAGAAGATTCCACAGTCTGAGCATCACAACAGAAAAGGCCCGTTACCTTTAGAAAGGCCCACTACATTTGAATTACCTGTCAAATGTAGTTCCTTGGTGATAGAATCTGTAACATGCCCTCACTGCTGGATCTGATAGGATGGCCAGATCAAATTAGTCCATCAACCTAGAAAAGAAATGTGATTTTCAAACATACATACATACATACATACATACATACATAAAGACACACAGACACACACACAGACACACACACACACACACACACACACACACACACATACATACCTGCATACTGCTTTACATGGTGTGATCCTGCTTCTTTTCTCTGTGTTGAGTTCTACACATTGACAAAAATCTCAGTCAGGAGTATTTTGCCCATTGAAAGATGTGATCTGAGGTTGTTCTATGCTCTTTTTTTTTTAAACTCTAGCTTGGGAGTTCCAAGGCACACCATTAATGAAATGGAAATATCCCCATGCAGTGAATAATACCTCAAAGAAGATCTGAGACTTCTCAGTTTTCCCCCCAGATTTTTCTAAGATCTGTCAATTTTTTTGTTGTTGTTAGGATGGAGTTGCACATGTATACAATAAATATGGTTGCAGAGATGTAAGTGCTATTGTTTTATCTTTTTTTCCTGCAAAGAAGCTTAATTGCAAAGAAGCTTAATTCACAACATGTTCATATATGGGTTTCTTTAGCTTTGACTTAACATGCTTGGTAAATTTTCCAGCCAGCATGTTTTTGCTGTCATATGAGAAATTTGACTATATGATTTTTTTTTAAAGCTATTGAACATATGCTGTTCCATTGATGACCAATCAGTACACTGAATAATACATTATTTCATTTAAGTAACACTAGACAGCCTGTGACCTGTTGGATCATAATTGTTGAGATATTTTCCTAGCAGATTCTTCAGTGCCTTCAACAATAGTATTTTTTTAGTATTTATTTGATTTGTCAATCGCTTACAAGATACAAGTATAAGAATAAATATAGTTTTGAATACATGAGATAGATACTTATAAGAAAAATAAAAAAACGATAGGACAGGGACGGTAGGCACGATTGGTGCGCTTATGTACGTCCCCTCAGACAGAACTTGTGATGTTCTGCCTTCGCTGGAAAAGGTTGGATAAGTTCAGAGACGTATCTGAACATCTGGTTTAAAAACTATTGCTCTATGATACACCTTTTCACCCACCTAAAGGTTATATGGATTGTGTGCCATTAATTCCTTGATGTAAATATTTTTGTGAGATATTCTTCATTAAGATTTTATTTACTAACCTCCATTTAATTTTTGTATTTTGTTGCAGCCACGCACCTAAATCAAAATGTAGAATGCATTAATCACCAGAAAGCAGTGTTATCTCCTCAGTTAAAACTTAGTAGACTAACCTATTATAGCCAGACAAAATATATCCAACCTACCATTATGTTATAAAAATTTTGTCACGGTATAAGCAGCTAACACTTACTTCTCAACAGAAAAGAATCACTTGACTGTTAAGAGTTGATCTACCTATCCTGAAAGTCGATCTTTAACCAAAATGGCATTTTATAAAGTGCATAGCATCGCATCTAAGGCAGAATTTGATTTTTAAGAAATAGGATAGAACTGTTCCGTATTTTCCTGTATCTAATATATTTCTAACATTTACCTTTGCAATGAGCACACAGAACTCTTCTTCTCCTTCTCCTTCTTCTTTCATTTTAGCTGATAATTCACTAAAAATATCCATTTCCTTTGCCCCCTATTTCTCACTATCTAAAATAGCCTCAAGAGGCCAGAGTACTGAGAGTTCATGAGGTTCTTAGCCTTCCTAAATAATTTTCAAAACAGTAAAAAATCATTTAGTTTTGCATGCAAGGCCAAATTTGTAGGAGCAAGGCATGAAAGTAAATGCCCCAAACACTTTGGTAGAGCTTCCCTTGAGTACTCAGATCTGTAGCTTGGTGATAAATGACTTCAGTTTGAATTTAGCCACTTTCCATCAATTTGGGATTCTTGGATAGCCAAGTTCCAATATTTTAAAATGTCTTCTAAGAAATAAACTCACAAAGTAAAAGTGTTAGGGACAGCAAGTATATATGTGGCTTAACTTTCATTACTCATTTGATCATAAGGGGTGTGTGTACAAACTAATGAAATACAGTGGCCTATTTTTCATTGAGATTAATAGAATGTTGTTGCTTTTTTTATCCAGAGTGAAGCTGACAGTAGTGATAAACCATCATATGGCCAGGTAAGGATTAATGTTCTTATCTCAGATCAACTTTTTACAATGGTAATTGAATTAGAGTTGTAACAAATATCAGTAGTAATACAGGACTGCTGTGTTTATATGTTCTATGTGTAAAATAACTTATACTGACTTCAGCAGTTTACAAGTGACTGTATGATTTCACTTCAAGGAACATGAAATTCTGACGATTTTTATCAGGAAAGCATCACACTGACAAAAATGACTTGACCTGTTAGAATTACACATTCAACAATGTGCAGAAGTAAAGTAAAGTAAAGTAGTATTTTTATAAGCAAAAAAAAAAAAGTAGTTACCTATCTAAGAGGCAAAGTGAGAAGAATGTGAAAATAATGTCCAGGTCAAGTTATTTGACCTGAATCATTAACAAAAATGTTATTAAGAAAAGAATTTCAATTGTTGTTCAGAAGTATTTTAATGGTGAAGGTTAATAAGCTGCTGGATGATATGGTTATATTTCTGTGTTATAGATGAACATTTGAAACCTATCTGAAGCTGAAGAAATTAAGTCAAGCCATAAGAACAATTTCTGCGTAGAGGAAAGACTGAAATATCTTGCCGAACAACTACTTTGAAAAATTATCTATCTTTTATATTATTTTCCTGGCATATTATGCTATTGAATAAAAATGTTAATGTTGCAATGCAAAACACTGTTAGGGAAAACAATCAAAACAATATTCCTCTCACAGTGTTCTGAACTTTTCCCCTCATAAACCCTCCATGCACTGATAAATTAAGCCCACTGTTTGACACCTGCTTTCTCAGTTTTTCTGACACCATATTTACTCCACTGAGCATAGCATATGTCCTACTAATTTGAGAGCTAAACTAGGAACAAGGGTGGTCATAATTTCAGTTGTACTGAAAATGAGGTGCAGGTGTTTTATAACTTGTTTATAAATAATCTTGATATAGAGGACACAGTTGCTGATCAATTGTATAAAGGTAGTCTTCAATTTATGGCCACAATGGACCTGGAATTTTGGTGGTAAGGTAGGGGTGGGATCCAACAGGGTTAACTACCGGTTCGGTGATTTACGAAGTTCGGTGATTTACGATGTGCTTCCCTGCACGCTGCACGCGTGCCTGTAAATTGTCATCAGCCTGGTGCCTGGACAGCTAAGCAGCGCTGCGGGCTGAGAAGCAGCCTTTGAAAAAGTATTTGTTTTTCCTGCTTTTTTAACTGCAGCTGTGCCTCGCAAGGCAGCTGAAGTTGAAAACACAGGAAATAAAGGTCAGGTAAGAGCAGGGGGGTGGGGTGGGGGGCAAAAACATCAGCAGACATAGAACCAGTCCTATGTCTGCTGCTCTTCAGAGCTACTGGTTCTACAGAGGTGGACAGAACCGGTAGAAACCCACCCCTGTGGTAAGGCCTTACAATTGTAACTCAAGGCATCACATCACCAAGTTTGATTTTATGACTGTTTTTACAATAGTTGAAAAGTAAATCATTGTGGTCACTAAGTGAATTGCATATTTGTTAAACAAAACATATGGTTGTTAAGTGAATTCAGCATAACCAATGGATGTTTTTGGCTGGAAACTGAAAAAGAAAAACACATCAGAAATTGCATTCACATAACTGCAGGAATGTTGCAACCGGCTGTAAATGGGAGGATGAGTCATAAGTAGCTTTTTAAAAAGTCCATTGAAACTTTCAATGGTGGTTAAGAGACCAGTCATAATTCAAAGACTAGTAAAGTCAAAGATGATCTCAAACAGTACAGGTTGGTCTAAACTAAAAATGATAAACATTTTCAATGTTTCAAATGTTACTTGGCCTTATGTAATAAACCTTACATTTAGTTGATGTAAATATAGATACATTTTTAGACAAAATTTATCTTCCACAATTTGATTCCTTAAAAGAACAATTACTAAAATATTCTTACAGAGAATATTTTAAAAACAATTTTGAGTATAAACAATGGTAATTAGATGGCTTTCCTATGGAATGGTATAAAACTTTGCTATGTCAGTTATATAACAACATTTTTGAGAATAGTATTTTATCTTCATTTATGAAGCATATATGACAGTTTTTCTAGAATCTGATAAAAATCATGTTCTGAGTTATTGCCCTATTTCCTTGATTATTGTAGATATTCAAAATTTTGAACTGCTATTACAGTCAATAGCTTTCAAGTGTTTTCTTCTTCAGACAAGAATGATCCAGCTGGTTTGTCAAAAGTAAATATGGTACAAATAATATTTGGCTGACAGTGGATTTAAATGAGCTGAACCAAGAGAGAAAGCTCAAAGCTGCAATTATAATTCTATAGTTTTCGTCTTAATATTTTTTTAGCTTTTTTTTTTAAATTACTTTTTTCTATCCCCTCTCCTTATGCTAGTCTATGACCATAATAAAGATTTGGTTGATTAATAAGTTGAAGAGGGAAAAGATTTTGATAAAATACATTGATGGAAAATGTGTGTTACCTTAATTTGGATTCCAGAAGAATATATAAAATGGGTCCAGATTCTGTATGCAATCCCAAATTTAAAGTGAGAGCTTCATGTAACTTTTTACTGTGTAATGTTTAGCATGTTTACTTTCTTCTTTGATTTTTACTATTTGTTTAGAACTCTTAGCTTGTGCTATTAAACAAGATAAAAATATCTTTGGGTTATATTGCATAATTGATTAGAAATTACTCTGTTGATTTTACAATTAAAACAAACCGACAACACATACACAAATGAAAAAAAAGAGAGAAAAAAGGGAGAAGAAAATAGAAAAAATAGAAAACCATTAAAATCAATAAAATTTATTTATATATATAAAAAAAGAAATTACTCTGTTAATTGGTCAGTTGGAATTGATTTCAATGGGCAAAGATTTATTAATTCACTAATCCTCATATACAGTATATACTGAATTTATGGATTTACATATTCTTATTCCATGTGATGTTTCTCAAATAAATGCATTAAATATGAACAATATATGATATAAATAAATTTCCTTGGATGGCATAAATCTTTCAGAATTTGGGGATGGGATAAACAGTCTCAGATTGAATCTAACTTCCAGGATACTTTCTATTTTGTACAGAATTTCCATACACTTATTTGCAAAACACTGAAAAATATTTGGAAAATGTGATTTTTCAGATAAAGATGGAGGATTTTATTTCCCAGATCCTGAATTATACCATTACACATTCTTTTGGAATTGTACCAAATTTTGGGTAGCTTCATTTAATCTAAATTCTGGTTCCCTTTGGAATATTCGTACATAGCACCTTTAGTTAATTGGTCTGTTTGGGTTCAAAATACAGATTTATCTTCTGTCAATGTTATGCTGATTAAAAATGGCAGTATATTATTTCTGGAAAATTGCATTTTGTTCTCCCCCTCCCTCACACCAGTTTATGGTATAGATTTTAAAACTGATTAAAAACTATCAGCAAACTGTTATATGAAATGTTTCATTGAATGCTGGGTTTTTTTCTTTAGTTCAAATATTAGATGGTAAGCATGAATTGTCTTCATTTTCTGTGTTAAAGGATAAACGTAATTTGTCTGTTGCCACCAACTGGCAGTATTTACAACTACAACATTTACTGGCAACTTGTTTTGGATCCCTGGCACTCCTGAATAATAATTAATACATGATAATTATATCTTGCAAGACAAATAAGCCCAGAATTAGTTTTTTTCATAACTTGTGATGAATACATCAACTTGATATGCAAAGATTAAAGACTGAATAGAACAAGGGATTGGAAACCCACTTTCTGTAAACAAGGGTGGACTGTTTTAACTGTACTATAAAAAAAACCCAGTAGATCTCAGATTATAATTTATTCCCCCAAAATATGTTGCATTAATAAAAAAGAAGTAAATCATTGTGTTGCTTAATATGCAATAATACTTCATTAAATCACATGTTTTAAGATTATTTTCTGGGAAGAAGTAATTACACATATTAATTTGAATTTGAGAGTGGGTTTAATTTTCAGACAGACATTTGAAGCTATACATTTATACATTTAAACTGACAGACAATGGCAATAGCTTCTCATACCATTTTTATTGCTAAGATATTCTTTCAACTTTGGGGAAAAGAAGGCATAGCCTCAGTTACTAAATGGATTGAAGATCTGTATGAATGATTACAGTGAAATATGATGTTTTCCTGAAACTTCTATAAAACTTTAAACATTTATATGTATAAAAACTGCACAAACACACAAATACATATTTTACTTTTTATTTATGTTTTAATTAACATTTTTAAAATAAAGACAATTTAAAAATAAAAGCTACTATGAACAGCATCACAAGAAGGATCTCTTTAAATCAGTGGTGGGATTCAATTTTTTTTTACCATTGGTTCTGTGGGCATGGCTTGGTGAGGGTGGCAGAGGAAGGATACTGTAAAATCTCCAGAAGTTGTTTTTGCCAGTTCTCTGCACTTTTCAAAATGTCCGCTACTGCTTCTCCAGAACTGGACAGAACCTGCTGAATTACCACCTCTGCTTTAAATGTTTGGCCAACGATAATGCAAATACGATGCAATCTAGGTAAATATAAAAGTATACCAGGGCAAGAAAACCAAACCTTAATTGCACATATGCAGAGAGCTGATAATACCTGAACTATCCATGGTTTAACAACATCTGTATACATAGCAATACCAATACCAGCCGGTGATATGTGGAAAAGGAAGCAGACATGTGAATCAAACATGGAATATGTGTTTTAGATTATTACATATATTAAATTAGCATTGACCCCTGCAGTTTACAATAACAGAACAACGTAAGATCAGAATAAAAGAGCAAAACCAGAGTCACTTGATTGAGAGACAGGCAACTATATAAATGTAATGAATAAATGAATGAATGAAAATAATATATTGAACTATAAAAAAACACAGTGCCCATCCCAATAATGGATAAAAACCATTCAGTTTCAAAAGCTTAGTGGAAATTTTCCATTGAAAAGCATTCCTAAAAGACACCAGCGTAATGGCACTCAAATCTCTAGGGGAGGGGAGGCTATTCAATAAATGCTGCCTTGGCCCCACTACTTCTCACCTAAAACATGAGAAATTCTGAGCCCCTCTATTTGGTCAAGTCTACCAGATGGGCTGGTTTCACCAAAACAATGAAATGAAGAGCTTTAATAACTATGGCCATCACTTTGGATTGGACCAAGAAACCTATTGGAAGCCAATACAACACACATAACACTGGTACACAGGTACTCCTTGACTTACGACTACAATTGAGCCCAATTTTTCTGTTGCTAAGTAAAACAGTTGTTAAGTGAGTTTTGCCCCATTTTGTGACCTTTCCTGCCACTTAAGTGTTAAGTTGTTACGTGAATCACTGCATTTGTTAAATTTGTGACAGTTGTTAAGTGAATCCAGCTCCTGGACGAAGCAGTAAGACAGTGAGGAGAATCCAGGCACAGCTGATTGTCAGAACAGCTGATTGTCAGGAGGAAAAAAAAATACCGGTTCGGCTGAACTGGTAGCTGTTGTTTTTTTTACTACCGGTTTGTGTGAACCGGGCTGAACCGATAGAATCCCACCACTGATCCAAAACTATGTAGGGTCCCTGACCAAAACATCCACTTCTATCTACAACACTGCACCTG